AGAAATGGGCTTTTTGGGTTCGGAGGTTGATGGCCGCGGTCAGGACAAGTGTGACCGCGGGGAATGAGTGGTTTGCCGCGGTCGGGATGCTCCTGACCGCGGGAAATTGCTTGTTGGCCGTGGGTGGAAGTGCTTGCCGGCTGGTTTACGGGACATCTTGCTCTTCGTGTATCTTTTGATTGAACCGTTGGATTGCCAAGTTGTAAAGTGCACTGAAAAGCTGATACTTCCATCTTTAAGGTCTCCAAATTTGAGCTGGATCAGACGGTGAGAAGGCCTTCAATCAGGGGTGAACTTCTGACGGTTTGACTCTGAGCTGAAATCTGGTTTTCTATCCATTTTGTTAAGCTTTTTCCTAAGTTACCTGAAAAGAGTCTTGGAACTACAAATACTAGAAAAACGTAATAAAAGTACTTAAAAAAAATTAAAAACATAGAAAAAGTATTTCAAAACGATCCATAAAAGTGGTCAAAATACGGTGTTATCAACTCCCCCAGACTTAAACCTTTGTTTGTCCTCAAACAAAGCAAAAGCCTAAACTGGTTAAGCGAAAACAAAAATAGGGAATGCACAAATCTCATAGACATGAACTCCTAAACTAGGACCAAAGATATATAGTGCATCAATCCACAACTTAGTCTAGAAAATTCTCACCAATGCACAAGAGATACTAGTCCACTTTTTCCGTCATGCAAAACTTAAACAATTTAAATCTTGATTCCAGTCAACTAGCTCTCTACATTCATTAAGTTCAATAGTGAGTTCTCATTAAAGACATCATCCAGGGTAGACGGCGTTTGGCATTAAAGGGCTATTTAAATGGTGGAGTTAAAGTGTTTTGGGTTACCTGAAGATCTGGAGGATGCAAGATAATATGCAAAACCGCAAGAGAGATAAGGACCTGTTGATGACCACAGTTTTCAGTCATTTCTTCTTGCCAAATGTTGTTGCATAATCCTTCCTCCTTTGTTGTAAACAGCTGTTCCCCCAGACTTAGATTCTTTTCGGGAATCAGAAAACAATCTCCAAAACTCCATAAAATCGAACTCCAGTTGCCTTGGGACTTAAAATTCGACCTCTCTAGACTCTCTAAGGCTTTTATTTCCTTTCTTTTCTTATTTTCGGATTTTTTTTTTTCGAATAGGAAATGCCTTTTAAAGAGAGAGAGAGACTAGAGGACGAGATTGTACCAAAATTTGAGATTTTTCTAAGGCAAACTGAGTTTCTCTGGTGTTGAATCCTTCCGGGAACTTTTCCGGCAAATCGCAGGTCTCTGTCCTTAGTGACTGAAAACTGTGTCGTTCCTCTTTCTTTCCAACGTTTTTACACTTATCTGCATATAAGACAATAGAAAACAAGAGTGCATGTGGTTTGAAAGAGGATTGGTTAAGGTGGGGAACTAGCTAAAGATGAACTAGCCATTCAGGATCAACAAAGAGTGGTAAAAGGATAAAGGAGTCCTGAATGTATGATTCGTTTCCCTGGTCTAATGCTTCAATGAGAAAATTAAGTCCAAATTAAGTCCAAATAAAACAGAGCTAGTGTATCCCTTCATCTAAATCGAAATCATTCAAATTCCTCTGGGGTACTTCGTTTCAGATGTGCTTAACTACTGCCTAGTCTAGTCCTAAAATCATGAATGAGCAAGTCACTAGGAACATTCTAAAGCACACAGTCAACTATCATTGATTCATGTTCACCATTCCCTTTAAAACGTATTTTGTTTTGAAAACCGGTTTTGAAAAACTTTAAGAAAAATGCAAAAAATGTAGCTAATGCAAGACTCATGAAAGAAAAGTGGTTAGAAAGGGATGAAATCCTTCCCCAGACTTAATCACACTGTCCTCAGTGTGAAACAAGTCGAGATTGGATGAGAAAAATGCATAGATAATCGAATTGGTAAGGACAAAGAGAACTTACCTGGATCCGGGATGCTGGTGGAGATGAACCGTATTCATTCGAAGGGGTTTGGGAAGGTGATTAGGTGGTGATGAAGGTGGTGGAAGGTGATGAATGAGGTGGAGGGTGATTGGTGAGGTGAAATGAGGTGAAAGCGGTGGTTTGGGGTCGGGTTTGATGTCAACGACCAAGTGCCGCGGTCAGGGGCTGCACGACCGCGGCAAACCATTGCTTGGCCGCGGTCAGGACTACGCGACCGCGGTTGAAGGGGTGTTTCCCGCGGTCCGAACACCTGCAACCGCGGGGGCTTATATCGCGGCCTCTTCCTGCTTCTCCTTGATTCCTGCTGGGCCGAGCAGTCAGGTACCATCCTTCTTTTTGGTTCTTTCTGGTTTTTTGATTTTTTGGCTTTTTTGTTTTATAAGAAACACCTGAAACTAAGAAAAGAAAAAGAAAGAAAAATTCTAAAGAAAACAATACCTAAATGGGTTGCCTCCCATTAAGCGCTTTTGTTTTAAGTCGTTTAGCTCGACTTTTGGTCTTGGACGTGACTTATTCCAATGAAGAAGACCTTGTCCTGAGACAAGTATTTTTCGACATCTCCTTGCTTTGCCTAGCAGGTTCTTTGTCACTCCAAAGTTCTTCTTCAAACTCTTCTGTTGCAGAACGTTTTCCTGTTTTGCTGTTGTATAGGACAGCTTCTGTGAAGACATCTTTGTCGATATTAGCAAATGAAATCCTCCGGTTTGGCCAGTCCATTATAGCTCCGGAAGTTGCTAGAAAAGACCATCCGAGAATCACTGGATAAGTTGCATCTCTCGTCTCGAGAATGTAAAAGTCGACAGGCACTATGCAATCTCCTATTCTCAAAGGAATTTCATGAGCTATTCCTTGAGGTGTTGCATTTGAATCATCAGCTAGGCTAATCTTTGCTCTAGTCCTGTGCAGGTGTTTAATACCAAGTCTCAAAGCAATTGCCTTGGACATCATGTTAAGACAAGCTCCAGAATCACAAAGCACGTTTTTAAACATTTCTCCTCTAATAGAACAAGAGATAAGAAACTGACCTACACCTTCGATTTTATGAAGTGTTCGAACAGGTTTACCTCTTCTGGCATGATTGAACAAGTCTTCTATCTCAGGGATTGATTCTTTGCTCTCACAAAAGTAGTGGCCTATCATAAAGTCCTTGCAAGCTCTCGCAAACGTGATTCCTTCAGACAAATTTCGAACCACATCATTGAATTCATCGAGCTTCTCTTTGCTGATTTTGTTGGTGTAGTGGCTGCAGTCTTCAGGTCTTTGAAGGTGGATTGAATAGATTGCAGCATCAGGTGATGTTCTGGGAAAAGTCATACGTCTGGCCCTCACAAAATAGGTTCGGATATCCTCCTTTGTCTCTTTGCTGTACCTAAAGAAAACTTGCAAACAACCAAGATGCCATATATCATCGAAATCTGTGTAATGAGGGATCGATTTCACAAACTTGTTGAATTCAATGAGCCTTTCTCTGAAGATTGGTGCTCCTAATTCCGCCATTTTGTCTGGATTCCCTCCTTCTATGAATAGACGATAGTCTTCATCTTCGAGGTAGTTCCCTTCATATTCATCCTCATATGCTAAAACTATGTTGCAAGGGAGTACCTCATTTTCTTCTTGAGATGTTTTGGAGCTGATAGCATACACCGTTTGCTCATGAAGAGGGGCTTTGACCATCCCAGCAGATGTATCAAATAAGCATTGACCTGTAGGAGTGGAAAAGGGCTGAAAGGTATCTGACGGAGCATTTGCCACGGGTAGAGGCTTCACGACCGCGGGTGAGGAGGGTTTTTCCGCGGTCAGGATGCTCACAACCGCGGTTGGAAGCTTGTTGGCCGCGGTCACGAGAGTTCCGACCGCGGGAAGGAGGCTCCGAGTTGTTTCCTCCGTTTCGTCTGCTCCTTTGCCATCTAAACTGATTTCTGCACCTTCTAACTCTGTCTTCTCCTCTTTTAGGCTAAGATCTTCGATGAGAAGCGTCGAACCATTCGTTTCACGTCCTTGCATAAGCATCTGGATCAGATTATAGTTCATGAAGCTACTCTCATGCAGTAAAAACGAATTCAGAAGAAAAAGTTCTAAGATTCGGCTCAAAAGCTCATGGAATCCTCATCGAACATATAAATCCCCATCGAAAATCCCTTCATCCCAACAATAAAACTACTCAGACATAATGAATGAAATCAAAGACATAGTATTAAGAAGTAGAATAGAAACAAAAATTGAAAAAGAAAGAACAAGGGTTCAAGAGAACAAATCTCTCTCTCCCTAAAAGCTAAAGCAAAAACAATAAAAGTATGAAGTAAATATTTCGGTGGTGATGGGTTACACTCCGTTTAGGGTTCCTAAGACATGTATTTATAGTGTTCAAGACCTCTCTAGACGTCACTTAGGGTTTCTCCAAATGTGGGCTTCAAAAATGGGCTTTTTGGGCTCGGAGGTTGATGGCCGTGGTCGGGACAAGTGTGACCGCGGGAAATTAGTGGTTTGCCGCGGTCGGGATGCTCCTGACCGCGGGAAATTGCTTGTTGGCCGCGGGTGGAAGTGCTTGCCGGCTGGTTTACGGGACATCTTGCTCTTCGTGTATCTTTTGATTGAACCGTTAGATTGCCAAGCTGTAAAGTGCACTGGAAAGCTGATACTTCCATCTTTAAGGTCTCCAAATTTGAGCTGGATCAGACGGTGAGAAGGCCTTCAATCAGGGGTGAACTTCTGACGGTTTGACTATGAGCTAAAATCTGATTTTCTATCCATTTTGTTAAGCTTTTCCCTAAGTTACCTGAAAAGAGTCTTGGAACTACAAATACTAGAAAAACGTAATAAAAGTACTTAAAAGCAATTAAAAACATAGTAAAAGTATTTCAAAACGATCCATAAAAATGGTCAAAATACGGTGTTATCAATGGGAAAACAGTTTGACAAGCTTTCTTAATAGAAAGATGTCTGTCAGAAACTATCACCAAAGGATAACCATCTGAGACACATTCACGCAGTTTTGAGAAAAACCATTCCCATGAAACATCATCTTCGCCATCAACAATTCCAAAGGCCAAAGGAAAAATCTAAAAGTTTCCATCTTGTGCGGTGGCAACCAACAAAGTACCTTCGTATTTCCCTGTTAGATGACATCCATCAACCACAATAACTCTTCTCATGTACTGAAAACCGGCAATCGATGCTCCAAATGCGAGAAATAGATATTTGAATTTGTTATTCGAATCTACATGAAGAGCTGATACAGTTCCCGGATTGGCTTTGTTCACTGAATGTAGGTAAGCTGGGAGACTCGCATATCCATCTTCAGCCGTTCCCCTGACCAATTTTTGGGCATATATCAAAGATCTGTATGAAGTAGTGTAATCCATCTTGATGCCAAACATATGCTTCATTGAAACCCTGACATGTTCTGGTATAATTCCATCAATGATGCCCAAATGGCTTATAAACAGCTTGACAATATACTTAGGAGTAGACTTCCCACGCTGAGCCTTTCGATGACCTATTGAACATGTGTGGTCTTTCACATATTTTGTCACCCAAAAAGTGGATGCATAATTCTTCACGCTCGCTCTAACCATCCAAGCACATCCTTCCACTCGACATTTAGCCACAAACAGGGTCTTGGTAGACTTCTTTGTTTTAAAAGCAAATTTTAACATTATCGCAGTCAATTTAACCTCTGATAACAGCTTCTCCTTTGTAGGGAAACTTGCCCTAACATATATATTATCAGACCATGACATGGGCGTGCTTCTGGTTTCACCATATCTGTTTCTGACATTTTCAATACAGACTTCATCTTCATCTTTCACTTTACCGTAGACACTGTAATCTTCTCTGTCAGAGTAAGCTGCATCGTCGACATCTTCTCCATCCTCGTTCACATCAGAACTGTCTGCCTCATCATCGGTAGGAATGTTCTGAATTTTCCTCAGACTCCTCACCTAAATCTTCATCTGATCCTTCCTGATTCTCCTCAGTATCCATCTCCACTCGACTGGACACACAAAGACGTACCATATGCACTCTGCTTAACGCAATCAAGCTTGAAATTTGTCTATCGTTGGTGACATGCATTGGAGGTGTATCTGGAGCCATAGTTTGCAACATTGAGACTGGTAGTGAGTAGGTTAACTTGATGAGCTCAGTCTTCTTGCCCAAGTTATAATCATCTCGCGCCTTCTCAGTAAGCTCCCCCAAGGTGCAACCATCGTTCAAAAACCACATTCTTCCACCTTTGCCCATGTCAACAACAAAATGCCATGAATTCTCCTCAATCTTCCACTCCCCATACACAACTGGAATTTGAGCCATTCTCTGAAAAAAATAACCATATAAACCATATTATATTAGCAAACACTGCATACAGACTTTTTGTATCAAGAGTAGACTTCTCCCGAAAAGAACATTAGTAGACTACACGATAAGTAGCTTAAAAATCGAAACTTCTGATTCAACAATAAATATCGAATGAAATGAAATGAAATGAAACTCACTGGGTAGTTCAATCACTTACTAAGAAGCAATTCTAATCCAAAAAATTTGAAAAATATTTTATAAATTTGCCTAAAACGCATTTTTTTAAAAACGCCAAAAAGTATACTTCTACGACAGACTTTAAATGTAGACTGGAGGAGAGGTCTGCTTTTTCATAGAGAAGTCTACTAATGAAGTCTACTAAAGAACAAGTCATTTTTGCAATTGACCAATCTGTTGACTTTTCCTTCAGTAGACTTCAGAATTAGACTTCCGTCCAAAAAGGTTACTTTAGCATTTGACCGATGTATTGACTAACAAAGTAGACTTCTATTGTAGACTTCATGTAAGAGTAGACTTCTCTGACAGTCTCCTTTTGAAGTCTACTTTTTTAATAGAAGTCTACGAAAAAAATAGGTTATTTTTGCATTTGAATTTTTTTAATAGACTTCACAATGAAGTCTACTCAAAAAAGGATTCCTTCTAAGTTTGACCGAAAAATGTAAGTAGACTTCACAAAGAAGTCTACAGAAGTTTTTCGGAATTTTTTTAATTTTTTAATTTCTTAAAAACCGTAGTCAAACACTAAAATGACCTATACGTTTTTGGTCAAACTACAAAAGTAACTTTAAGGTAGACTTCTTCTGCAGACGTAAACAGTAGACTTCATACGGAAGTCTATATCCAAAAGTCAAAATACGGTCAACTACAAAAATAACCTCTTTTCTTTAGTAGACTTCTTGAGCCTTCAAACGAAGTCTACTAAGCTTTTTTTTGTTTTCAAAGGATGTCGAGTAGACTTCTCGTGAAGTTTAACGAAGTCTACTTTTACGAAGTCAATTGCAAAAATAACCTTATGTTGACTAGTAGACTCCAGTATACTTCACGAGAAGTCTACTTTCGCGATATAAAAACTGAAATGTGGAGAAATTGAAGTGCGAGGATTACCTTTAACAAAATTGAGCTCGCCTAAGGTTCTCTTAAGCATCCAGAACTCAGGATTTCACCGAAAATAAACAACCCAGGTGTCGAGTAACCACAAAATCACCGAAAATGCATGGCCCGACGCATTGTAACTTAGCCCAGATGTTTTGTAGAAGAAATTATGAAAGAATGAGCAAGGTTATGAGTGAATGAGCTCAGATATTTACTTATTACAGCTTTAAAATTGGTTGAGAAGCATTTATTCTCATTTCGTGGTTGCTCATGGTGGTTGAAGGAATTGAAAAAGATAGCATTTTCGTAAATAAATGATCTTTAGGAGGACCAATGAGACTTTACCAAAATTAAAGAAAAATCGAAATAATAGATGTATAATGACATTTTCGTTAATAGTTTAGGTGGAAGGATAAAATTAAGAGAAAATGGCAAAAGTTGGAGAAAGAAAAAAAAGAGGTTAGTTTGGTGCTTAATTTTGAAATATAGATTAAATCTGAAACTTTTTTATTATTAGTATATAATATGAAAGAGGAATACAAAAGTCTGTATGAAAATAGATCGTAGAAAGGCCAAAGAAATTATAAAATCTTACAAAACAAAAACTGCTGAACTAGAACATTTCCAGCTAAATCCAAGAAATGCCAAAGCAGAGGCAATGGACAGGAGCAAGAAAAGACAAAGTAGCGATTCTGTAGTTCTTTTCATAACAAAACTTTTTTCTTCTTAGTCTCTTTGACAATTTTTTTTCTTTTTAAAAAAATATATTAAGAGATCTTTAATTTTCACTATGTATTTTTGATTACATTTTATTTTCTTTAATTCCGTTTTCCATCTTTTCTTTTTACATATTTTTTGTATTTCCATATTAAACTATATTAATAAATTAAGAAAGCATATCACACTTTTATACTTTCGTTCACACTTATTCTAGTATCCGGTCTAAAAAATAAACGTCTTACACTTCTTGGTTAGAAAAAACGTACAGATATACATAATGGTAAAAAATTAAATTAATCACAACGATATAAGAAGTTACGTTACAACGGTCATATTTACTCATTGCCTTGACAAAGCATCCTTATTCGTAAAGATTATTTTCTTATAAACATTTTGGAATGGGTAAGGTAGATTTTTTTTTTTTTTTTTTTTTTGGTAAACAGGTAGATTTTAACTGAAGGTAGTAGTAATCTTATACATGCTATTAATTAGTTGTGTACTTAGCTGTAAGTTGTAACCAAGAGCTATAAACAATACTGTTGTAGCACAAGTAAGTTAGAATACGACTGGTAATTACTTGTCACAAGGGAACAAGCTAGGATTATTATGTTCAAGAAAGAAGATATGAAGTTAACTAATTATGTTTTGTATATATAACAATTTCATTAATTAACATAAAGGGGAAGAGTGTCAGTGCTTGGGGATATAGTGGTTATCATTCCATGAACCCGAACACTTAGCATGAGGGCTCCACTTGTTGTTGACATGTGAGGCTTTGTAGCGTTTCCAGTCATGGAGAACAAGAGTAAGATCAAAGACTTTGGCAGTGATGTGGCGGCAGCAGTTGGCGTGGACCGTTGTGACAGCCCCCATGTCGGGACTGTCTTGGCAGAAACCGCTGAATTCGTTGGTGTTGAGGAAGCCAACGGAGAGGCCGAGCTGATCGAAGAAGCCCGAGTCGAGTAGATTCTTGAGGACGTCTTGTTCCTTCATGCCTGTCACGTTGAGCCTCATGTCGTACCATTTTTGAAAGAGGGAGATGGTCTTGTTGTTGGACCGGACGTGGTAGAAACCCGTGTTGATCAAGTGTCCATCTCCCACGTTGTTGTTGTCCACGCTTATCTGCATATCCAAGCTCCCGTTGTTGCTTAGCCGGGAAAAAGGACTCCTTAACCACATCACGTCCGTGTCCTGATAAAATTTTAAAATCAATACTATAAATATGCAATTCCAAAAACCTTATCAAAAGTGTGTTGCCACCTTTGCAAGATTTTGTTAGCGCATGAGTTCGTTAAGAATAATAGAAAAAAATTTAAAAAAAAACCCTAATTAATTCTACAAAAATAAAAACGCTACAAAATAACATGTTGGAAAAAACACTTCCGATAGTTTTTGGACCGTCGGTCGTCGGAAAATACCCTTTGAAAAACGATTAAAAATAAAAAAAAAACCTAAAAAATTATCGACGATTTTAGTACAGAACAAAAACAAATCAACCTATTTTCTTGTAGTGTAATAAAGTCTAACCGTGAAAATTAGATGGTAGCCACGGCGGAGGACGTCTAGGAGCAAGCGAGTCCTCCTCCACATCATCTCAATGAAATCAGGTGACATGTATACTTTCTCTCCCTCCAAGTCAACCCCATCCGTCTCCATCTTGTAGCATTGGAGCCTCCTGAAACGACAACGATCATAGGCCGTTTGATCCGCTGCCACCACCATCAGATGGTCAAGAAGCGGCAGAGTTCCCTCTCCTTCCCAAAAACTCTCCAAGAACAAATCAAACATCGTCCTCTCTCCTTTAACATCCTCCACATACGCTCTGTTAACCACCGTTATTATCACCGTCTTGTTGTTTCCTGCCGCCGCCTTGTCTAGCACCGCCTCTAGCTCGTCCACCGGAAACTCTATATTTCTCTGTCCACCAACTTAATAATATCAATATTATTATCTCAATTAATTATTCAACACTCCAATATATTATCAAATAAGTTACCAGCGGCTGAGGAGTGTTGGCATTGTGTTGAATATCGGAGATAAGATTGGAAATCGAACGTGGTGAGGAGAAGCTGATATATAAGGCGCCGGCGAAGAGGAGTGCAACGGCCACGGCGAGGTTGTTGGAGGAGTTATTGCAGAGAGGCATGTTTTTCTTTTTTTTGGTTATCGGATTATTAGGAGTTGGAGACTCACGTATCTTATGTGCCCTATCTCTCTTACTTGATTCCTTTTAATTTGTACATAACAGTAAACCTATTAAGATAAGGAAATTAACCTAGTGTATTTATAGAAGGGTCCATATACGCCAAACTTTTTTTATTTGTCAATGGTATATACCAAACTTTTTTTTTTTGTTAATGGTAAACCAAATTTTGGTGGTCCCAACTCGCAAGTTAATGTCTTTGATCTCACTCTTGTGAAATTTAGTGTAAACGATAAGTGAAAATTTTTAATGTAATAAACGATTTAAATTAGAATGTAACTTAACTATAACAAGTCAAAATATATTGAAATGTTTTATATCAATAATGTTTTAGTTTGTCGTAAACATTCTTCCAGTAAGTCTGTAACAATCCTAAGAATTCACTTTTAACAAGACAATTTAAACACGATTCTGCAGGTTTTTTGCCGATCAACAAAAATCCGCGGAATGAAAAGATACACATAAAAACGTAAACTGTGTATTCGCTTAAAAAAAGAATACAAAAGAAAAATCATTCCGCAAAAAAAACTTATAAATAAATTAATCTATTCTGCAATATTTTTTCCGTCATTTCGCAAAATTAGCCTTAACCAATTTGCGGATACATTTTCATATATATTATGATATATGGCTCACTCAAACAAAAATTCAGTGAAACAATTGTGGCTCACATTATATATTGCTAGATCTAAACTTTTATGATTTAAATGTTATGTTTTTTTACAATTTTCTTATTATGAATCTTATTGGTAATACACATATTTTGATGCTACAAGCAGGCTCAGCTCAAATAATATTTGATTCCTATGTTGAGTACTTTACTCTCTTTTCGAAAACCTGATTTATATTATTGTAAATTTAAAAATTATAGCCTTACTTCTACAAATTAATTTTTCAAAATTCAAGGCCTTAATTACCTTGTAAAAAATTGATAGAAGATAAATAGTGATATCACATTTTTGAACTAACTTCTTACCGCTTTACTGATTGGTTATAGAAAGACATTGTACATAATACCACAACGTCACCAATCGTAACCTATATAATGTAGTTACATGCTGAATAAGGATTCTCTGTCTAATGTAGTATGTTACAAACTTACAATACTGTTGGTGGTACGCTCCGCTCCCCGGTCCGGACCGGTTAAAGACCGAGATCGGCCCAATTGACTCCGGTTTACGATGGTCTTAGCCGAAATGGGTCTGGCGTGACAGCGCGGCCCATCAAGGAGAGGCCCAGCGACGAGAGGCGATGAGAACCGAGCGAGAAGCCCTAGAACGTCTCCTCGTTTGCGTACTATAAATAGTAGAATTGTTACTGTAGAAGAGATCTTTTTTCGGACCCGGAGAATAAAGACCTGAATATTGTATCGAGTTCGTCGAGAATCCTCCGAACTGAACGAACGGTAACTAAGAACTTAAATAAAATTTGATCGACTTAAGATCTTTCGAACTCAAATTACCGGACCGACCTCGAATAGTTGAATACAGTAATCAACAAATACCATCTCATATTTGGTAAAACATTCCAAACCTAAGTATGAATCCAACAGTATCAAAAGACAATTTAGAAAAAAAAAAGTTTAGAATGCAAATCTATTGGGTCAAAAACAATAATGGGCCTCTATGATCAGGCAAAACCCAAACCCCAGAATTCTCCTCCGTCTCCGACGATCAAGTCGTCGAGACAAAAAAAATTGCCCGCCAAGTTAACCCTAAATTCGCACCGCCGTGTAGATGAACACGTTCAGACTCGGAACCTTGATCCGACGCACTGCTTCCCAGATTTCTTCAAATCAATTCCTTCGATTCTCCGGATCCTTTGCGTCAATTTCTAAATCTCGTTTCTTTTCCAATGAAGCTGACGGCGAAAGTGCGGTTTATCACCACGCGCGTTTGTTCAGGAAACCACTATCAATCGGTTTCACATCCAATCTTTCCAACTCCGTGAGCCTTATGGGTTTCGTTAATCGACCCATTCGAGTCATCGACACTGTTGAACCCGATAGGTTCGGTGTTTCCACTTTGCTTAGAGTGAAAGACCCGCGTGATCAGAATCGGAGCTTTAGGTCAGGTTTGTTCAATTTCAGTTTCTTGCTCGACTATGTAGTTTCAGTTTCCACTTTGCCTATAGTGAAAGACCCGTGTGATCAAAATCGGAGCTTTAGGTCAGGTTTGTTCGATTTCAGTTTCTTGCTCGACTATGTGTGGTTTCAGTTTTTGTTCATAGTATGTGCCTTAATAGACGAGTAGGGTTCATGAGTTTGGGATTAAAAAACTAACTCCTGGGATTTATTATGCGATGGTTAGTCTTGTTACTAAATCTTATGATGATCAAAGTTTTTATATACTTATGGCACAGTGTAGATTCATAGTTCCTAAATCTTGTGATGATCAAAGTCTTATATTCCAATAGCACAGTGTAGATTCATTTGAGGATTGGTTAGAGTTGGATTCTGATTGCAATTTGCATAGCTCTCAGAGTTTAGGATTGATGTGGTTAGCCATAATTATGAATTTAGAGTTTAAATTTGTGCATCCTTTCTTGTTTGATTTAATTGACAGTATACCTCTTAGCATGTGGGATGCGATGGCAAGGAAGTGCATTGCGCATCTGAAGCCAAATGATTTCATACATGTCTCGGGCCGCCTTGTTTCTTTCGGCAATGAAAATAGCAGCTTAGGTTTAAAATACCAGGTTCTTGTTTCTTCTTGACCCATTTATCACAAACTCAAGATCCGAGTATATATATGTTACTGGCAGCTTCATGTATCTGTAATGTTAATGTATTTATTCTGTGTGTAGCTAAGATTTACCAGACTCGTTGATTATTGCAGGTTAAAGTGACAGAGGTGAATTATGTGATGGCTCCACCAAGTCATGTCTTAGTTTCTCAGACACCCCAAAAGCCAAAATCAGAAACAGGTTATTATCATATCTTCTACTCATCAAATGACTCTACTGATAATGTATATGAAGCTGAATGATTCCACATTGATTAAAAGAACCTTGAACCATGCTGAATCCATATTTGAAACAGGTTTATATCTTCTGGTTATGAGTAAGTTTTCATTCGGTAGTTTTGAATGTTGACTATCGAGAGTTGCATACAGTTTACAAGAACATATCATAAAAAAAAATTCCGCTGACTTGACCTTGTTTCTGTGCGTTTGGTGTCACTTAAAGTGGCGAGAGAATATGGTATAGAAGAATCCAAGAATGGTAAGATTCACTTGTGGGAAGCCTTCTTTGCGAACCCAGACGAGTGGTCGGACAACAGGAGAAATAAGAAGAACCCGAAGCAGCCTGACTTCATGCGTAAAGGTACAAGGGAAGCTCTCTGGCTTGACTCAGATATACCGGTTTGGATCACTAGACAACTTGAATTGTTTGACCAGAGAAGACCAGATGGTATAGAAGAATCCAAGAACGATGAGATTCACTTGTGGAACGCCTTCTTTGCGAACCCAGACGAGTGGTGGGACAAGAGGAGAAATAAGAAAAACCCTAAGCAGCCTGACTTCAAGCACAAAGATACAAATGAAGCTTTCTGGCTTGGCTCAGATACACCGGTTTGGGTCACTAGACAACTTGAATTGTTCGACCAGAAAAGACCAGATGGTATAGAAGAATCCAAGAACGATAAGATTCACATGTGGGAAGCCTTCTTTGCGAACCCAGACGAGTGGTGGGACAAGAGGAGAAATAAGAAGAACCCAAAGCAGCCTGACTTCACAAACAAAGATACAGATGAAGCTCTCTGGCTTGGCTCAGATACACCAGTTTGGGTTATTAGACAACTTGAACTGTTCGACCAAGGAAGAGCAGATGGTATAGAAGAATCCAACAGTGCTGAGATTTACTTGTGGCAAGTCTTCTTTGCGAATCCACAGGAATGGTGGGACAACAGGAGAGATAAGCTCAACCCGAGATGGCCTGACTTCAAGCACAAAGATACAGGTGAAGCTCTCTGGCTTCACTCAGATACACCGGTTTGGGTTAGTAGACAACTTGAATTGCTCGACCAGAGAAACGCAAACAAGAGCTGCTATGATCAAAAACAAACACGTCGTGGCAATCTTGCTGACTGGCTTTAGGACGAGATGTTCTTGGCATATTGCTAAGTGTGTTTCATCAGCTTATGTTTATTATCTTAAGAGTTAGAGAAGTAACCATCTTAAACCGTTTATACAGAAAAGGCAGTGTCTATTAGTATTTTTTGCCAACACTATACTTAGAATGCTACACTCCACAGCCAAAACTCTAATCACAGCCAAAACTGAACTTTACGAGTTCAAATTTCAATTTGATTCTTAAAAATAAAATTAAAACTAAAACAAACCGAAATGGCACCCTATTGTGAACAAAAATAAAATAAAAAAATCTGCTATTGGAAGAATTTTGGATAGACCTAACCTAAACCAGAAAACCAAACCGGTTTACTAACAAACCATGTCTAGCACACCAGTATCAGCCATCTTTTCCAAATCTTCGTGTGTTATCAGAGTTTTCATGCCCATAGATAGTACCCGCCTTATCGTACGGTTGAGCCATTTTTTTAGAAACTGCACAAAACCCAATTTTTTTAACTTACTACGTTCTTAATGCTCATGGTAATACTTAGTGGTAAGTAATAAGTGAATTCAAGGTCTCTTACCTCTTTAGCAATGGGGATAGCCATGTCAGTGCTTAGATTCAAGTGTGCATCACCCAGATGCGAAAGTATCCAAATTGGGTAATTTGGACCGCTTATCGTGACGGCTATATCTGCAAGTTTAAACATGAATGGGCAATCTTCAATTAGAGCAAAGAGAAGTGAGATCATAAACGAAACATAAGCATATCTGTCTTTGTTCTATTCTACGAATTTCTTCCCATTCCTAAGCAACTAACAGTAAGAACCACGTTTACTAAATAGCAAGAACCTAACTGACCAGACTCAGAGAGAGGGAGTCTTTAAGAAGTATGTATATACCTCTTGTCTGCAAATATCATCATACCATAATCAGCCTTTGACCGGATTACTCGTCCTACACATTGAGCTATTTGCCTCTGTTTTGTGGCAAAAAGTTAATATTAGTCGCAAACAGATAAAAGATTAATATCCGTAAGATTATATAATTTTAATCATACCAAGGCATCAAAAGTTAAGAAATCGTCTTCCTTTATTTGAAATGTATCACGCAGATACTCCAATCGTGCGAGTAATATCCTGATTTTTTTATTCCCTTTTTCGTTTTAGCATCTCCCACATATGATTGAAAATATGGAACCAGGAAACGAGAAAATCATAGGATAACTTACTTGCTTAATGTATATTGAAAAGGTACTCCAAACATTACAACCAGTCTTCCATAATGACGATCAAAATCGATACCTTCAGCAACTTTTCCCCTGCCATTCAAATACAAAACTTTGATCAATGTCTTTGAAATTCCCAAACAATGTAGCCCCAACAGATAGTTTTCTTTTCACCTGGCTACAGAGAAGAATACTGCACCTCTTCCGCAGTCGCAAGCCCTGCGATAATTATCCAGTGCCGATGTTGTTTCTACAGCATCTTGTGACTCAAGGAAGACAAGTTTCTGCTGCCTTGTTTCCTACATAAAATTAAGAGCAATGGTCACCACAGGAAACAAAGTATACGCTAATGACTCTAGCAACTAAAAATACATTTAGGTATCATTTAAAGATTAAGCGTAGAAGAAGTCCTTACGTGTAGAATTCCAGTTTCATTCCATGTAGCAATAATGCTTTCCATGTATGAATAACTAATAAAGAAGCACACAACTCCATCAGGAACAATAGATACCATCTCTAACAAAAGCTTTCCGTAATTCCTCACAACGCCAGGATCACTTCTCATGTCAAATTTGGTGCTAACAGGAAGCTGATCACTGAAAAAAAAAAGTAAGAAAATTAAAAGATCACTTAACGTAAATACATAAAAGACAAAACAACAACGTCACTGTGCGTACCTTCCTCGAGTTAAAACCATAGGGCAGATGCAGTCTCGCGTCATTGACATCTTAAAGCTTCGACTAACAACAGGATTGAAACTAAGAAGACGTGGATACAGATCAATTGGACTCAGGGTGCCTGATGTAATCACTACTGATTGGAAACGGTCAAACACCGGTTTTATAGCCAGAGACGCATCATGACAGCTCAACTAAGAAACAAAAAGGAGATATGTTTCAGATACATTTCTCAATAAGATGGTATAACTTTACATTCGAGTGATCGAGTCACAACATGTGAAAACCAGAGAAACATACTGACCTGCAATATAGGATCTGAAACATGAGGCATTCTCTCTTCATAAGGCTCAGTGATGACGGAAAACCCACGCGCATATGTCCCAACAAGAGTTGCAAAGTCGCACACTCTCTGGATAGGCAAAAACTCATCTGCCTCTGTAATTTCAAGGGTTAACATGAGAGAGCGGAGACGGTCATAACAGAACTTGAGCGTCTTCTGCTCAATTCCAGCCCGAGAAGTAAGCGATGATACAAAGCTAACAGTGCTTTCTTTCTCCACGTTCTCAGCATCCAGCCGTGCTTCCAAGTACTGAAGTAACCATCGTAAAACATGCACAAAATGCTCAGCTCGTCTAATATTTCCCGGGACAGCTTCCTCTAGAATATCCTGGGGCAGTGCAGGGTTTGCAAGCCATTGATCCGTTCCTGCAGAAAACAAAAACATATTTTTTGTGTCAAGTTCACATATAGAACCAACGCATCACCTTTCTTACCAGATACGTCCCCTCTCAGTGCTAAACCCTGAACCAGTCGGTTGTATTCAGCTTGCAATCTTCCTGCATCTGAAGCCTTGAACCTTCATTACCAGTTAGACAATCTTTAACCAAGACAACTATAAACCATAGGGATCACTAAACAAGACAGAGTCATGTTCTTTCAAGTTGCTGACAAGAGCGTTTGTAGATTTTAAGTTCCCTAAACTTTCACTTGCTTGAGAAGAGGCAAACTCATAAAACCAGATCTTTTATGGGTACATCCATATGGGATCAGAAGAATGGCCCTACCTATAGAATTCTTGCCTTAGCTTATTAAGATTCCGATTAGCTCCTTGAAGAGTAAACCTCCTCACAGTGACGCTGAGTGCATCAATACACACGTTATCGATGTTATGTGCCTCGTCAAACACTACAACAGACTCGTTCTGTAACTCCTTGGATATAGTTCCAGCGACCTTAGGATCCAGCAGATACTGGTAGCTACACACAATTACATTTGCAAACTTAACCATGTCTAGCAAGGAAGTAAGGACACACACACACACACACACACACACACACACACACACACACACAGAGTTGTACATTCGGATTCTCCGATGCCCTAACCCAACTAGCCGTCCGTTTCCTACACGCGGCATCGACGGAATCACGATTCTCCTCCGCCGCCGCCAAAACCTTAGGGTTAACGCAGAGATTCTTCCGGGAGGAAAGACCAATTGAAAGGATCTTGGCTTGGTCGCCGAGATGGCGTACTTGGTAGTCGTGGAGAAGCTTGAGCTCAGCTAGGGTTTTCTCCATTTGGGGGACAGTACGAGTGCAGTAGACGAGCTTGATCGGAAAATCGGTACGAGAGAGACGGTAGCTTGTGATGAGAGAGAGAAGGGCGATGGTTTTGCCGGTTCCGGTGGGCATCTCGAGAAGACAATGTCCCTTAGCGTCTAGTGCTCGCTTCAATTCAACCATGTATTCGAATTGTTCTGGGTATATGTAATCGTAAGGGAAGCAGACAGTTACGTCTTCGATTTTGAAGATCATCTTCTTCTTCCTCGTGATCGACAGAGCCCGGTTTGAACATCTCCTAGAGATTAAAATTGGTAATTACATTAATTCCTAATGGATTCTATTGATTTTAAATCTGCTGTTAATAAGTGAAATATTAGAAAAGTGTACGATCAACTTAAAATTTAATACGATGTATTTTTTATAAAATTTATGAGCAAGCGTATATAAATTTGATGGTTGAAGAATGACTGCAGCTAACTCATCGGTTCCGTGGTGAGTTGTTTCAGGGGACAGTAGAGCAACCACGGTTCGAGAAGTAGAGCATTGCACCGCATATATCAACATATGCATGTGTGTGTGTATGTTATATATATATATATATATTATATATTTGAGTCCAATGGAGGTATTCTAAAGTACCTTTTTCAATTCTTTTGGTCGTCAGACAACCATTTCCTATATTTCATGTGTTAGAAATTACATATAGAAATGGAACTGTTGATTTGAAAAAAAAAAAGAAAGGATGTTATCGATATTAGTATTTAACAAAAGATGTAGCGGAAGCTTTGAGTCCTCTAATCACCACTCATGATGGCTCTCATTTTACTAAATACTAGATGATTACCCGTGCAAATGCACGGAGTCTTTTTAATGTTTTTTAAAATATTTTAAAGCTTTTTTGTAACTTTAAATAAACTCAATTCAAAATTTTTTTTAAGGTTATCATATACATATAAAAAAAAGTTGTTATTTAGTTCTTTTAAAAGTAATTTTTTATCACTTTATTTTTAGCTATTATTTTCTTCAAAGAAGCTAATCAAACACATATTATACTAAACAAAATCTAGAGTTGATAATCCAACAAATACTAAGTATAAAATATCAACTTATGGTTATAAACTCAAGAGGCATATCCTATAAATAAATAGATAAATTTATTTGGATTTTCCTATTTTAATTGGTAAAGTATTTCATAAACTCTTCTGAAATCAAAAATGAATATAATGGAGTTCTAACTAATATCCCAAATTGTATTAAACCCATGACCACTTTTCTTCACCAAGTTTTTAGTATGAAATCACTATAGATCTTACGTTGGAGATAGTCTTCTATGCTAAATCTTTCACTTGAATTTAATCGCTACCTTTAATATTCGTTAACTAAAGCGAATTTAAAAACTATCAGCCCAAATTTTCTCAAAGTGACGTCTTATGGTTTCATAGTTCCATATGCTAAATCTTAAGAACATTTGCATGCTTGAAAATATTACCGAGGCTTTGGTCACACAATTTCATCCTCTTAACATCTGTTTTACTTTTTGGGATATTTTACGTAGAAGTAGAAAACTTTGGTACAGAAAATTGGCATATAAGCCCAAATCTACAACTTTAGGCAAAGAAACATATAAAAAATTCAAAACAAATTAAAAATCCAAATCCTACAATTATGAAATTCGTCTGAAAAGACTACAGAATACGAAAAAATAATTTAAAAATCCAAACTCTACAGTTATGAGATTTTTATTTTATTTAAATTTCTTTCCAAAATAGTTACTTACTTCCATGATTTTAGTTGTATTATTTCGAATTTTTAAAGTTAATAAGATTTATTATTCCCTTCATTTGGTTACAAATTTTAGCTAAAGTTGCGAAGTTTTATGCATAAGAGAAACGTATTGGTAAATTTTACAAGTACTTTCGAATAATTTGTTGCATCAGAGAAATACGACTTTTTACAAAACAAAAATTCCTTAGTCATCATTAGTCATTACAACTAAAAATATTTTTTTCTCTAAATATGTTGTATTCATTTTCTTGACTCCTTTTAAAGGGATATTATTTAGACTTTTGAGCATACAAATAAGTTTGATTACAACAGAACAAGAATTTGTCAAGATTTAAAATAGGAAGGCAACATACAAACTAAAAAGATTTGTAATCCAAATGCAGGCTATAAACAAAGAGATTATCATTCACTTTTAGTTCCATAACTTTATGTTGTTGACTTCCTGATATTCATTAAGCTTTTCAGAGATTATGTAGTTGATCTTTTTTTGTTTTCTCAAATTACATTTGATTTTTTGTTGGATTATCTTCATCAATAATCAATAGAATAAAAATAAATAATGGTTTATTCTCTCTCACTAAAATCAAAGCAGAAGAATTTTAACCCAAAAAAAAATAAAAAAGATAAGAAGTTTATTGTTTCTAAGAGTTTTTTGTATTGTATTTAATGATTTATGACTTTTGTGTTTTCTAAACAAATTAAAAATCAATAAAATAAATTATAAATTATTTTGTAAATCTGATGTGTCAAAATAATAGATGCTGATGTGTCAAGATTGTGAGACACAACCCAACTTTTATATAATAGATACTCAAGAGTAAAACCAGATTAGTTAATACATTTTACAAGGAAAGATTATAATGTCTATGATTTACTGGGTTCGTGTAATATAAAAATTGAGTGTGTTACCATTAGATGTATTTTTAAGTTATATAATGTCCAAAAATGAACTTTTGTATTTTAATTACCAAAAGACACATTTTTTTCTAATTGGAAGAGACAAATGACTGTTTTAACATTTTTGCCTACTTATCTATATTATTTATTTATTTAATATTATATTAATATCACACATCCTCCAATAATTGTTTGTTGTTATTTATCTATTATTTAAAAAATAATCGAATAATTATTTTGACACTATAAATTATATAATTTTGTTTTTAATACTTTTATACCCATTTTATATTTTTTAACTTAATTTCTTTTGTCGTATAGTGATAAACACATATGTATTCATATAGTAGCGTCTACGTAGACACAAATATATGTATATCTATGTAATTATATAGATATATATACATATACGTATCCATATAATAGCATACACATAAACACAAATATATATGCATATCCACGTACATAGAGTATAAATAGATGTAACTATATAGATACACATATATATTTATATGCATATCCACATGTATATATTATAGATAGATGTAACTATATAAATATACGTGCATATTTACATGAATATCCATATAGATATAGTTGCATACATATTGGGTGGATCCCGTGCAATTTAGTGTATGGAAACTGATGAATTAAGACGGGTTTTATGCAATTTAGTGTGTGGAAGCTGAAGAGTGAATTTAAGTAGGTCATATATTTTTAATATTTTTCAGTAAGTAAATAAAAGGTAAAGGAAAAAGAAAGACAAAAAAATCCAAAAATGGGAGCAAAATAAGATAAGTACACCATCTCAAAAAAGTACATTTTTGGGCAATTACACTTTTTAAAAATACACCTAATGATAATATTCTCTATAAAAATTATATAATTTGTTGTATAAGTGACTAATCTGAAAAAGTAATATATATACTTGGTTAAAATTGTCATATTTCCACAAGATTATATATATCTTTATCGGTAAACAAATTCTGCATCTATTCGTCCGGTTTGGTGGTGAGATAAGTCTTGGGTCAGTTAATCCATCACGGTTCGAACAGTATGCAGTGAAACAATAATAAGTTTTCACATACATGTATGTGTGTATGTACATATATACATCCATCTGAACACTAATCAAGGTACTCTTAAAGACTTTTTTCATTTTTTTTTTCTATTCTATAACTATTTCCTTTTTTCTTTGTTTGTCGTAAGATAACCATTTTAAAAAATCCTAATATCGATTATTTTTATTTCAAATGTGCTTTTAGTAAGTGACTAATAATAAACCTGATTGGTAAACAAATTCCATAATTCCGCTAGTGTATAGATATTTGATGAAACCTCCTTGTCCGCAACTATTCGACCAGTTCTGTGTTGGGATAATTCATGGGTCAGTAATTACCCACCAGGGTTCGAATAGCATGCACTGAAACAAATAAGAGTCTTCATCTCCACACGTATATGTATGTATGTGTGTGTGTGTGACCTCAAGTGAGGTATTCTAAAATACCTTTTTTAACGTATTGTTGAGGAGCCGAAAAGGAAATTACATTAAAGAGAAATGTACAATAGAAAGGATGTTTTTATTAATTATTACACACATCAAAGTGAACAAAAGATGTCGTAGAAAGATCCACATATCACTCATAAGTCATAATGACACTCAATTTATTGATTACTCTCAGTAAGAAACCAGATTAGTGTTAATTCAACGGATCAATGACCTGACCAATGAACAGAATCACTCCTGTTATGTTCTCCTTAACCACAAGCAGAAACGGATGGTCTGCAACAAAATCTATCTCCTCTTCTTCCATAACCAAAGCTCTTAGTTTTATAACTCCAGCTGATGCAGCAGCAGCTTCTGTTCCTTCTTCATTCACTTCGATACACGCTTTATGAAAAACGCTCGATACAGATAGATTCTTACCCATCTCTGGTGATTCAACCATCTCAGTTAAACCGTCTTGACCCGAGAACGGCGAAGTAAGCCCCAATCCTTTCAAAACATCAGAAGCTTCGAACCCGAAAGAGAATTTAAACTTGGGAATCTTAAATTCACCGACCTTGACTTGTCTTCGTGGAATGTGGTCGTCCAAGAACCCAGGAGTAGAGACTATTTTCTCAAGAAGATCAGACAAGCCGTTGCTTGAATCGGGAAGATACATGTACATGGAGAATTGTCTCTTGTCCTGTCCTTGTAAGTAAGGAAGTCCCAAGACTTTGAAACCATCGTAAGCGCTTACGTACTGTTTCTTCTTGCTGGTCATGAACGGTGCAGTCACTTTGGTGGTACCGTCAAGAAGGTGAAAGTCGCCGTCTTTCGTTAGCGACTCGTCGAATTTTTCGTTCCATGTTCCTTTGAAGTATAATGCATTTGCGAATATCAGTTTGGTCATACTGTCTGCTGATCCTTCTGGTAGAACCTCAGCGATCAGACCATTTGTCTCCTTTTCAGCCCATGAATTCACCTCAGCAATCACTTCCACAGCCTTCAAATAAAACCATCAACAATAAAGCTAAATTATCAAAATCAATCACAAGCAAAGCAAAGATGCATAAATCATAATCATCAAGTGGATGAGTGAAACAGCAGCTTAAACATTGATCTTAGGAGAAACAATAGAGATGATACAGATCCTCAAAGGTCAAATTAAGAGCACACCAAATCCACATTTTGACTATTGATTCACAATTCCTCAAGGTCAAACTATGAGCACAACAATTTCACATTTTGACTATTGATTCACAAATCCACAAGGTCAAATTAAGAACACAGCAAATCCACAATATGGCCACTGATTCACAAATCTAAGTCTCAATGTTCTAAAACCCACATTTTGGCCTTTGATTCACAAATCTTAGTCTCGATGTTCTAAAACCCTAATATTAATCAAATGGCGTGATAAGAGTTAGATTAGGTTTTCACAATCCCAATCAAGAAATCGAAATCTAGAAAGCGAAAGTTTTTTTCGAGAATCTCAGGAATTGAGAACTACCTTGGTATGAAAATCTGCTTCATTGGAAGCAGCTTTGTATGAATCATCCAAGAGCTTCTTGAAGGATGGCTTGAATGAGAGAGACTTATCGATCCAGACGCCATTAGCCGCTGAGAGTTTCGGGCTACCGTTAGCGCTTCCGTCGGCGAGGACGGCGGAGACGATATCGGAGGAGAATGTGTTGAGCTGATCGATTGAAGCGAAGTTAAGGAAAGAGAGGATCTGGTCCTTACTGGCGCCGGTGGATCCGGCGGCGATTATGCTGAGGACGACGTTGATCGACGCCGGAGAGAAGATGACGTTGGAGTTCTTAGAGACGGTGGTGATTACGTGCTTGGCGAGGTTCATGGAGACTTGGTTTTGCATCGAGATTGATTCTCGCACGTCCATTTTCGCCGGAGGAGGTGACTGGTCGTTGATTAACTTACTGGGGAAGGAGACGACGATTGAGAGATATTTATTTAGAAAGAGAATAATTATATGATTGAAAAATTAAAAATGATTTGTGAAATGACATGTCGGCAAAAGAAAATATGAAAAAGAGAATTACACGCACCGCACGCGTCGAAGCGCCAAGCGAAGAAGATGACACATAAGGCAAATGGAAAATGAACAGTTGACAAAATATTTTGAATTTTTCTTTTTTGAGAACTGACAAAATATATAAAGATTATGAAGAGCTAAGAATTTTATTATGAACAAAGTTTATTGTGAATCTGTGCTTTGCTTATAAATGACTTGATGTGTTACCTCTCGTTGCAAGCAATGATTAAAACAAGTGTACATATATTTAAGAATTTTAATCAAAATTTCTTTAGTCTTTGATGAAAAAAGACCTCAACTAAAATAATAATTTGGGAATAATATTTTTCTGGAAGTAAAAAATCGGTCGACTTCTTTCAAATTTGACATAATTCAACTAAGTGGACAATTCGGTTCACCATTTGGTTAAAAATCATGAACAACATACAATTCGTACTATGGTATAGTTTTGGTTCGTGTTATACAATTTTAGTTTGGTCAATTATATTTCGGTATGGATACAATTCGGTTAAGTCGAACATTTAACAAGAAAAATTTCGGTATGGTTTAGTTTGGTTTTCCCGGTTAAGAATTCCGATTTGAATTTGAGTTAAGGCTGATGAAAAAAAGCTCAAAAAGCAAAACTGGTTCATCCAATGATTCTTAACAACACGATTTACCAATTTTCGTGGTAAATATTCTTTTATAACTAACCCGAAGTATATATATACAAGGGAGAGTAAATACAGTTCATCAAAATGATGGTAACTCTCAGTTTTAAAAGATTATCAAAACGTAAAGAAAGAAAAAACAAAAGGGCTTTGAAGACAAAACCTGCTTTCATATATATACTTACAAAGTGTTCATGTTGCGTCTACCATTTGACGTCGAGTGTTAAAGCTTCTTGAGGAACAAGTATTGATGGGAACTTAGTGAATGACATATTAGACATCAAACTGCTCCATGCTTCTGTATCCACTTCAATGAAAGGCACCACTTTTCTCATCCCAACTGCTTTCAACTTATCACCTTCGACTTTCGCAGCTACTTCGAACCAAACCCGTTCGATCTTCGGTTTCGTTCTCCACTCTAATCTTTTACTTGTCACACTCTCGTTGCTTCCAATTCTTCTCTCGATCTCTAACTGAAACCGTACCATGCCTGATGCTTTTAACTTAGCTGTCATAGAGCTTACCGTTTCCGCGTTTCCCTTGTTCCCTAAAGAGCTTAAAACTCTTTCCAACTTCTTAATCTTCAAGCCAAGAAGATCAGTCGAAAGATGATTCTGCTTGTAAGTGTGAGCTTTATGATAACATTTCTCTGGAAGTAACTGGATTGCCTCGTTGGTTAAGTAAGAAGTCTTGATTCGGGAATCTTTATATGGAGTCCTAAAGGCAACCAGTGAAGCTGATCCATCGATTTGTATGGGAGGCAGTGGCACGCACACAGAGCCACCCAGAGACGACCATAAACAACTTCTTTCGTTCATATCTACAGGTTCTACAGAAGCAGCGAATCTTCGATTTGATGAGTGGAAAAGTGAGACTGTCTGAGCTTTCCTTATTTCTACTGAGATTCCTTCACTGACTAGGACTCGTTTTAAACCGTTGTGTGAGATGTTCATCTGTAAACAAATCATAAAACTTGAATCATCAGTGACAGGTTCAAAACCTTGAAAGGAACTTTCAGACTTAAGCAAGAGGTTTTTAGGATTTCTCATACTCGAAATGTAGATAAACACTGACACTGTCTGGGTTTTAGGTTCGAACACACACAAACCCAACTCTTCCTGTAAAAGTTATTCATAACTTTCTGTACTTTTGGCATCTTGAAAGAACAGTATAACAGAGTTTTCAATGTAAATCCAATGTAACAGGAGCAAGCTAAAGTGCTAGCTGCTAAACATCTGCTCGAAGAACAAGACTTAAGTTTTTAGGATTTTTCACATACTCTTTCAGATTTAAGCAAAGTAGAGGTTTTTAGGATTTATCATACTCAAAATGTAGACAACCACTGACACTGTCTGGTTTTAGATTCGAACACACAAAAACCTAGTCCTCCTGGAAAAGTTAATCATAACTTTCTCTACATTTTGCATCTTGAAGGAACACGATAACAGAGTTTCAATGTAACAGGAGCAAGCTATTGTACTAAGAGAGCACATACTTTCATTAGAACATCCCATTTGAGCAATCAAAAGATCATTACCATCAGTGTAACCTAGAACAATTTGGTCATAAAGCAGTAAGAGAGACTCATACCGGCAAGGCAAGCGAGAGAAGGTTATCTTCTCCGGCGACTCGCAGTTCAAGTGGACCTTTCAACACGATCGGATCAAGAACTTTACTCGAATTGACTTCCCGGACCACCTCCATCAACTCCACCTGCTTTCCTCCGCCGCTTCTTCTCCAATCGGTCACTTCGTCAGGGAAGACGAAAACGAATCTGCTCTTCCCTAATCGGATCCGGATCTCGAAACTCCGGCCAGTACCTACACGAAGCTTCTTGACTTCCAATTTCGAAAATCTAACCTCCGTTAGATTCCACTTCTGCCTCACCGATATCTCCTTCAACACATCCTACAAGTGGCGAGAGATTAATCAGACGATGAAGATAAGAATATCGCCGGAGACGAAGAAGATTGATTGATTGATTGACTTTTACCTGTAAAATCGGCGTTGCGGTGATGGTGGATTCGTCCGGCTGCGAAGGATCGAGAGCTACGGCTAGTGTAAGGGCTTGGATGAAGAGGGAGAGTACGACGGAGAAAGGAGAACGGAGCATCGTCTTCATTAGTCCGTTAGATTTACGCCGGCGTCACCGTTACCGTCACCGTCAGTGACCGTCTCGTGCGTCTCTGTAGAGGAATGCCGATGAAGCCCATTGAAGTTTGCCGATAATAAAATTGTTTTATTGATGTGGCTGCTGGTCTCACATGAAAAATGAACCTGCCTGTTTCTACCAATTATTTAAGACCAAACTTTTAAATGTATTTTTTTTCGTTAATCTTATTCTAGTGTCTTCGATTTTTTTTTATCTTTTGACCACTATTATAAATTTTTAAAAATAGAAAAAACAATTACTCAAAGTTAATAACTAGTAACACATGATAAATTAAATGATAAGATTTTAAAACATATTTTACTGATTTTTATTATATTTTTTAACAAATTTTATTAAAAATGAAATTTTATAATTGGATCTTAATCCTAGTAAAAAAAATTATATAGATTATTAAAAAATTACAATTTATAAAAAAAAAATGTATTTCAATTTAGCATATCATAAAAAATTAAATAATAAAAAATATAAATTTACAACCAAAATTTTTTTGGGGTTCTTTCACATATGACCCATAAATTGGAGTCAAATGCAAATGTAACCTCTTTTTTTTTCCCTCTTCAATATTAGCCAATTTCTCCCTACTATCTCCCTAAACCCACATATAATAACATAAATGCCATTATGTTTATAATTATCGATTTTTTAAGAAAATTTGAAAAAGACATAATCATCCTAAGATATATTAAGTATTCACGAAAATGTCATCATCTTCAATTTCGCCAACTACCATTACCAACCAAAATTGAAGCTCTTAAGGCTTGCCCATCCGCATTTGAAGCTCTAAATGCTTATTTTGCCGCTCAAAACATTATTCTATCTTCAAATTTCTCTCCAGTTTCATCTAAAAATCTCTTTCTTGGTCGACATTGATATGTTTGAATTCGCAAATCATATATTTTGTGCGATTCTTGGATAACCAAGTTCTGGGCTGGTTTGCTTTTCGTGTGTTTCAAAAATTCTGAACTTGTGTCAAAGTTAATCGAGTTCAAATTGGAAGGAGGTAAACATCTAATTCTTTTCTTTAACATTGGGCTATGTTTCGCGAAAGTAGACTTTTTTTAAAGTCTGCTAGTCAACGCAAAAAGTTAGATTTGCAATTGACCTTTTTGGTATTTTTTTGAAAGTAGACTTCTTTGTAAGTCTGCGAATTTTCATTTGAATACAAAAAAACAACGTGTAGACTTCTATTTCAGTCTGCGGAAAAGCGAGGATAGTTTTGCAATTGACCGGAAAATATTATACTTTGACTTTTTCTGCAGACTTCGTTGAGACGTCTGAGAAAGAGAAGTTTGACCTGAAAGGTTATTTTTGCATTTAACCAAGATGTTGACCGCCTTTGACTGTTCCAGCAGACTGCTATTAATTTAATTCAGAATTGGTCAAATGCAAAAATAACCTTTCAGCAGACTTATAGCAGACTTATTTTATAAGTCTGCTGACAGCAGATTTCTTTTGAAGTCTGCTACGAAAGTCAAACATTTGGTCAATTGCAGAAATAACCTGAAACAGACTTCGATTATAGTGTAGACTTCTTCTGATGACTTCACAACAACAGAAGACTTCTTGCCTCTTACAGCAGACTTCAAAAGAAGTCTGTTGTAAAAGTCAAACGTTTGGTCAACTGCAGAAATAACCTTTTTCTGATGCAGATTTTATAGAGAAGTCTACTACGAAAGTCAAACATTTGGTCAATTGCAAAAGTAACCCTGTCTTTTTGGCAGACTTCTTCGTGAAATATACCTAGTGGAGTTTTGCTGGAAGTCTGCATTTTTTTCATTTTTAAAAAGCAATTTTTTAAAACTTTGTGTGATGAATTTTTTTTTTTAATTTTTATTCTTGTTGTCTAGGTATATTTCCTTCACTTATATTAATTTGGTATGCTTATGTGTTATACATTAATAGTTATGATTTTCTAGATTTGAAAGATAATTAGCACATATCAGCAGACTGAGCAGTCTGCTAGTGAAGTCTGCTTGGCGAAGGAGAATAACACAGAAGACTACACTTGAAGTCTGCCTAATTATTTTAACAAAAAATTCGTTTTCGAATTAATGGTATATGTTAAAATATATTTCTTGTTTGGACATGTTGATTTGCCTTTTTTTGTTACATATACGTGAGTTTGACGTTGATATGTGTTATAATTAGAAAGTGATGAATTTTCTTGAATGTTTAGACTTTTAGCCGATTATAGCAGATGCCAACTCTATGTTACTTGGAAAACACGGTTACTTATGTGGTTTACCTTTTTTGCAGATGCCGACTCAGTTGCCTATTGTATTTGGAGAATGGGTTATGGGTGCTCAGTCGTGACATTTTGTGGTGGATAATCGCAAAGGAGGGAGGTTGGTCTTCTTGAATGATGATTGTACACATGGAGAACTCGTAGCTATGACTCTAGATGATTACATGCTGGATGGAAATACGGAAAGCGTGTCTATCACTTATGCATTGCCAGATTCAATGTTAGCAAACATGGCTCCAGATACCCCTCCTATGCATAGTACAAATGATAGACAAGTACAGAGCTTGATTGGGTTGAGTAAGACATTATACGTCTTTGTGTATCTACTCGCAAGGACCATGATGGACGTACTGGTGGTGTTGATGCTGCTGATGGGTGTTCTGTTGAAGGTGGTAATCAAACTACAGAGGAAGGTGAAGATGAAAATGTTGATGAGTATGATGATGATGAGATAAACGAGGACATCAAAAATGATCCAGTAAAGGAGGAAGACGGTACTGACTCTGAGGATCAGGACTACAACCAATATGGGAAAATGAAGGATGAGGATTCAAATTCTGATTCAGAGGGTGAGTGGATTGAAGAACCGGTTAAGGCTCCTCAAAGAGGATATGAAAGAAATTGGGTTGACAAAATAAAAGTAAACGGAAGTTTTGCTACAAAAGACGAGTTGATTTCAGAGATCAGGTTGACGACTGTTATGTTGAAGTTTGCATTCAGAGCTATAAGTCATCGAAACGTCTGTTTGTTGCTAAATGTGTTATTAAAGGATGCCTATGGAGAGTTAGAGCAGCTGTAAAGAACGAAGCAAAGACGTTTTGGGTCACAAAATATGTCAAAACTCATACCTGTTCTGTTTTAGATCGGTTGGCTCACCGAAAGCATACGACTCCAAGATACATTGGGAAGTTATTTATAGAGCGTGTGGGAATAATTGATGGGATTACTGCGCAACACATCAAAGATTCAATGCAGGTGATGTTTGAACTGAAAATAGACTACACAACTTCATATAGAGCTTTGATGTATGCACAAGAATGTGTGAGGGAAATCCGGAGGATGGATATAGCCGACTGCCTTCTTATTTGCATCTGATCGCTGAAGCAAATCCGGGTACAGTAAAACCTCTATAAATTAATAATGTTGGGACCATGAAATTTTATTAATTTATCATGATATTAATTTATCTATAAATTAATAATAATTTTGTTTTCGTCTATAATTTTCTAAAATTTTCTTTCAAATACTGTTATATTTAAGAATTTAAGCGAATATCTTATTAAAATTATGATTAATAAACATAGTTATCATAACAAAATAGTTTTTAATAGCATATTAATTTGTATATTAAAAATATACATGTTTAAAAGTTTAAAATTTATAAGAAATCTTGGCTATTATAAAAAATGAAATTGAAAACAATACTACAATACATTTGTAATCATTTACGTGTAAGAAAATCAATTATCACATTAATTTTTTTTTTCACAAATTTGAATGTATATCGAAAAACAACAATAAAAGATATAGATGTAATAAATAAAAGATGAACACCAATGAAATTTCAACTTTTAGTAAAAAAAAATACGTTAGTCATATTTTAGTATAGTATATTATATATTTGCATAAATTTGTATAATTATTAATTTATATTTTTGTTGGGACCATATATTTACATAGGGGTTTCAAAAAAAATTATTATCTTATTATCTTATGGAATTTGATGAAATTTTACATTGGCCCGACTTGGAACCGGCAAAATTTATTATTTTATAGTGATTATTAATTTATAAAGTATTAATTTATAGAGGTTTTACTGTACTATAACTGCCCTTGAATGCGACAGTCAGAATAGGTTCAAATACCTATTCTTAGCCTTCAGAGCCTCCATAACTGGTTTTCAATATCTCAGACGGGTCATTGTTGTCGATGGGTGTCATCTGACTAGAAAGTATGAAGGGACTCTGCTAGTGGCGACAGCACAAGATGGTAACTTCCAGATATTTCTATTAGTTTTTGGAATAGTGGACTCTAAGAATGATTATGCATGGGAATGGTTTTTTAGAAAATTGCGGGAGTGTTTTACAGACGAATATCCGTTGGTGATAGTTTCAGACCGGCATCATTCCATTAAGAAGGCATGTGAGACTGTTTTACCATGGGTAACACGCGGGATATGCTATTATCATCTGCAGCACAATATTGTCACTAAGTTTAAGGGGAAGCATCTTATGTACTTGGTCAAACGTGTTGTGTATGCATATACAGTACATGATTTTAACCGGTATATGGACGAGATAAGGCATATAAAACCCGACTTTGCAACGTACCTGGAGGAGGCAGGCATTCAGTTGTGGTCAAGAGTTCACTTTCCGGGTGATATATACAATATAAAGACGAGCAACATCGTAGAGTCTATCAACTCCGCTCTCAAACGAGCACGGGGATTTCCCATAGTATTCCTGTTGGAGTACTTACGGGAGAAGCTAACAAAGTGGTTTTGTAAAAGGCGGGAAGATGCTTTGAGTCTTAAAACCATCCATACTCGGGGAGTTGAATATTTGTTGGCAATTCGTTCACATTATGCTGATAATTTGACGGTTGAAGGCATAGATGGTTGGCGATTCAATGTGAAAGGAGGATCACATAACTGTGTCGTTGATTTGGAACTTCGAAAGTGTGGGTGTGGCGTGTATGATATTGAGAAAATACCTTGCTCTCATGTTATAGCCGTTTCAGATGCAATGCATATGCATCTGGCCACTCTTGTATGCCCGACATACTACAAAGATTACTTGTATGCAGCGTACTCGCATAATATATATCCTCCAAGCATTGCAATGAAAACCGATGAAACAACACAATGTCTACCTCCGGAAGTCCGACGTAAAAAAGGCAGGCAAAAGAAGTCAAGATGGCAAACTTGGCTGGAAATTTCGAGACATAGGCAGAAGAAACCCCGTAAGATCCACAAGCAGTACAGTTGTTCGAAATGTCACCAACCAGGACATACCAGACCGAATTGTGTAAGTGTTATGTTACCTCATACGTTTAAGGGTTACATTGGTTGAAGTTAATTTCCTCTGTTTTTGCAGACATGGAAGTTAGGATAACAGGGGGCTACCTATAATAGCAGATTTACACTGAAGACTACACATGAAAGTCTACTAACGTAGTCTGCCCAAGAAGTCTGTAGACCAGGTAAGGTAGATCATATTGAAATATGTCTGTTTCATGTCTATGTACGATCATTCTTAATTATTGTTATAAACTATGCGATATAAGAAGATATGATTAGGCTACCCTTAGAGTACGTGAATTATCACAAAAGCCACACTAGTCTATTACAAGCGTTTAGGCTAACAAAAGATACAACCACACCATTGTTTATAATATTACCAAACAAACCGAAATTAGTTAGGAAATTACAGTTAAATAAGAGAACAACAATTCTGGCAGGTTAACCAAAAACTTCCAACCATACCACACCCAACGAGAGTCCTTTCTCTTACAGTACAGAATATACATAGTTGGACATATCACTTACCTTCGTATACGTCCAACCATGGATAATCATACTTCTCTTCGCCGGTTACTCCTGTCTCGTCAAATATCTCAGCTGCCATCTTGTCTCAGATGTTTTTAATGTTTGCATCACACAAGGTCTTAGGAAATGGCATCTCTAGAGCATGGCATTCGAGGTACTTTAGGCAGTAAACACCACAGTCACCGCTTTGTCTGTTTTGTGGGATCAATGGCCCTTGATTCGCTCCCACGTGAATGGATCATAAGTCAGATTGATCCGGTCTTCAGCAGGGGCACATTCACGGAGTATGTAGGGAACCAAGACGGTAATCGGAGTCACAGCAGCCTCAATCTGAAGATCCAATGCATGAGTATTCGCATGGCTGTCCCAAATGACAATATGCTTCATCGGAATAGAAATCCACATTACCACCCAGTGATCACCAGTGATGTGTAACATCGAGTACATGTCATCCACATCATACCCCCACGTCTTGTTACTAACGCAGTAAGTTGGCGCTGCGCCAGTGTAGTACTCGAACAAGCCAGCGGGAAGGAGCTTGCCTGAACCATCAGGGTTGGCGTGAGAGTCCAAGAACTCCTGGTACTTGTGCCTCCACATCGTAGCAAAGTACAGAATATACATAGTTGGACATATCACTTACCTTCGTATACGTCCAACCATGGATAATCATACTTCTCTTCGCCGGTTACTCCTGTCTCGTCAAATATCTCAGCTGCCATCTTGTCTCAGATGTTTTTAATGTTTGCATCACACAAGGTCTTAGGAAATGGCAACTCTAGAGCATGGCATTCAAGGTACTTTAGGCAGTAAACACCACAGTCACCGATTTGTCTGTTTTGTGGGATCAAATGGCCCTTGATTCGCTCCCACGTGAATGGATCATAAGTCAAATTGATCCGGTCTTCAGTAGGGGCACATTCACGGAGTATATAGGGAACCAAGACGGTAATCGGAGTCACAGCAGCCTCAATCTGAAGATCCGATGCATGAGTATTCGCATGGCTGTCCCAAATGACAATATGCTTCATCGGAATAGAAATCCACATTGCCACCCAGTGATCACCAGGGATGTGTAACATCGAGTACATGTCATCCACATCATACCCCCACGTCTTGTTACTAACGCAGTAAGTTGGTGCTGCGCCAGTGTAGTACTCGAACGAGCCAGCGTGAAGGAGCTTGCCTGAACCATCAGGGTTGGCGTGAGAGTCCAAGAACTCCTGGTACTTGTGCCTCCACATCGTAGCAAAGTAAGAGTCAAGGAAGGTTATCCTGTCCGACCTAAACCACTCAGGATGCTTTGTAAATCGCAGTCTGAGTAGGTTAATCCCAGCTTCCATGTGCTGCATATTCAATGAAAACAATTATTCAAGAAGAGAGAAATATGTTGTGGTCATATCATATATATACTTGCGTAACTTACAGTGTCTGCTAGCCATTTTTTAGGGACTCTCAGAATGTTGTACCAGTCCGTGGATGACCATTTTATCCGCTTCGGATAGTTCCTGAAAACACCAACATTAACTTGTCTAATATCATCCACTACATATACAATAGAAAGAAGTCTGCAATAATAACTCCAAAACAAAGACTTACAGATCTTTTTTTCAGACAATCAGTGAGCACACCGATGTTTTGCCTCATGTCTGTCATATAAAAGGGTTCATATCCGCACCCTTGGACATTTTTGTTTGGGATGATTTCCTTCGCTGTGCTGTTGGGTTTGAAAGGGCTTTGTTTTGTAGGAGCCAGCTTTCACAGTTGTTCACTCTTCGCACGGGCAACCAGTTGTGCGCCTTCCTGCCTTTCTCACACTTCTCTCTCTGGACCTGATCGAAGTCGATGTCGCATTTTGCTGGATCCACCATAACAACGCTTGGCTCTAGAGTTCCCTGCTTACCATCGTTCACGCTCTCACTCGGGACATCAGTTTGTTCATTTTGCTTAGACATAAAATTATTCTGCAAATATAAAGATTTAAACACCCATCAATGATACAAAACCAAACATCAAACAACATTAAAGAGTACAAATAAAAGGATTAAATATTTAGTGGTAACAACTCCACGAAAAACAGATTCTAAGGTTTTAAAACAGATTGGTAAAGTTCGATAAGAAGTTTAAAAACAAATATGGAATTTTATATTTTCCGGGGTTTCCTTCCTCTTTTCTTTGGAGCGGGTTTTGAACTAACCCCGATATTAGGATCGGCGTCCGCGTTCGTTGGATCGTCGCCACCGGTTTTTGCGCCATCGGCGTCTGCTACACCAGTCTGAGCCACATCCTCCTTTGTACCTCCAGTCCCAGCTTGAAAGATCACTGCCTCTAATTTCTGCTCCACCATTCCCAACTTTGTGTTGAGTAGTTTGATCTGAGATTCAACCCATCCATCATCTTGTTGAAGCAGTCGTCCATGTGGTCCTTCAGAATCGTGACCATTGACTCCTCTTCATCACCAGAGACTGGGCAGAACCGCTTCCGACTTCCTAGATCACCAACTGATTCCGATCGCCTCTTCAGATCGACAGACACTTCGGACTTGACATACTTCGTCACACCTGTTGGAGGCCAATGACTCCTATCCCATTTCCATTGTTTACGACCAAAATGACCATACATCGCTTTGATGATGTTGTCAGTCCTCGCGTCTTCTTCATCATTGTCTTCAACTTTCCAGCGCAAAAACATGTCGAAGAAGTCCTTAACAACGTAGTTGTTAATGCGTGTCTACATGAAAATAAAAACTGTGTTATATAACGTCCAATGTAGAAGTCTACAAATGAAGTCTTCATTAGAAGTCTACTAAGGAAGTCTGCGATAGAAGTATATTACAGACGTCTGCACTAGAAGTCTACTAAAGAAGTCTGCCGAAATAATAATCAACCAAGTATGAATTCAGACTACTTACCTGTCGGAGCATATTCTCTTTCATAAATTTCCTCCCCCTGGATCCCTTGTAAGCTATCAGCGGTACCTCGGGGTCGTTTGGAAGTGGTTCACCAAATTTAGTAGCAAAGTCGGGAAGAGCAAAGTAAACCCAGACTTGTAGTACTTGAACAAATCCCTCAATGGTGTACGATGACTTCCAAATTTCTTTCTCCTTCACCGACCACATCAGGTGTTTAAAGGCCACTCTTCCCCAAGGGTAGTTTTCAACCGCATCTAAATCCATCACAAGCCTTGCCAACCTAACCCGAGTAGCCGAAGATGGCTTTCGTGCTTCAATGTAACTAGCATAAATGCTAAGGTATCCCAGCCTCAGCCGATCCTCGGAAGACCACGACCTGCATTCCCTATAAGCTTCTATCAAATCTTCAGTGCTCGGGCCCAAATCCTGATTAACTCCCAATCACTCCCAGAAATCTTGCATCTCCTCAGTTATCTCAACCACCGGATCCTCGAGGTTGTCCATGTACTCGCAATTCAAGCCAGTAATATGTTCGAACTCATTCAAAGAAAAGCGGATCGGGATTAGACCTAAGAGGCTCCAAATCTCAAATTTTTTCTTGCAAACTAGCTGCATGCCGAGAATGTAATGCACTAGTCTAGATGTCCAGCCGAAATCCAGCTGACTGAACTTCAAGAACACTCCCAGTTTAGAGTTCATTATCTCTTCCCACTCATCTTGTGTGAGTGCTTCCTCGAGTGAGTCATCAGCTTTGTCTCACCGCTATAGTATCCTATGATTTTCAGCGGATACGGCTCATCGCCTTTTGTGAAGAGACGCGGGGGGAATTCTGGGTTTTCCATTGGCTGTTCTAACGTCTGCAAAACGAAGTCAAATATTCAAAATAGCAGCCTTAAAAGAAGTATACTTATGAAGTCTCACAAAGAAGTCTACACACGAAGTCAACCAACTAAGTCAGCAATTGAAGTCTGTAGCCCTAATAGCGTAATTAAGACAGTTTCCAAAAAACGAGCCGCCGACAAAGTTCTCTAAAAAAATACAACCCGTTTTTAACTCCGTTTACCAGATAATACTTCCAAAATAGTTCGCCTAACACTATACAAATCCGGTTAATAAATAAAAAGAAGTACTATCTATAACATAGCAACTAGAAACTTGGAAAACGGGTGTTCGATTTTTGTCCGACTTTGGAACATATATCTACTCGTTGTTGTCCGATTTTTAGAAAAACTGGTGTAGAAACCCAAATGACTAGGAACTTCGAACCCGTAAAGATATTTATGAACAAATTATAAGAAATTAGTTCAGCCAAATATCTTTCCACGACCAACGGCGGAAACGAATAGTTACGGAAACGACCCCAGATCTAGAATAGAAAGCGAAGGGGATTAGGGTTTGTGCATATCATAGACTTCGATCCAAAAGAGAAGTCGGCATTAATTTCGACTTAGCTTAAACGGTAAACGGATGTACAGTAAAAACCGGCGAAACTGCAGAGAAAAATTTTCCAAACCTCTGTAGTTTTTTTTTTACCGATGTTGTGTTAATACAGTGTCCGTTGAAACGCTTATATATGTCCGTAGAAACCTATTTAACCGTCGTACCAGTTCAAT